CAGTGAGACTTTCGAATTCAAATAGAATTGGAGTATTAGAACATTAAAAGTAAAAAGTAACGGAGACGATGCTCTAGCGAAAATTTTCCAAGATTCAGAACGACTCTAACTCTTCCCGATCATAACGGTTCTGCTTCTTTTTAGTATTCAGTTAATCCAATAGACGGATCAAAATAATGTCAGATTACCAATACGACAAATTTTAAAAGAAGTAATTGAGCTAGTGAACAAAGTTACTCAAAATGTCCTCGCTTATTATAATGATAAATTGCGCTGATTTCATTAGTTTTGAACATGTTTCGGTCTTTGAGAAAGCTTGAACGGCAAGAATTCACGATATCAAATGCAAAGAGAAAGTCACCTTAGCTGAACAAGAGTACAGAACTTGATTCTAGAAGTCTAGTCCAACTCAAAGAGTAAATCGAATGCTTTTACCACACCGTATTGATCTTATCTCAATGGCTCCATGATAAGAGTGATAGGAAAAATAATAAAGTCATTCTTCTCTTCTGATTATCAAAAAGTTGTAACTAGAGTTCAAGTATAGCTTAAAACGTATAGATACGTTTTCATTAATAAAAGAAATTGATAATCTAATTAATTATTATAATTGCCAAAAAATGATCGAAAAGAATATTGACAATAGTCAAGAATCGTTTTCCCCACCATATTTCATCATGTTCACCATGTGAATCGATACATGTTAACAAAATCTTTTCGTTCTCATCTATGTGCTGAATTGATTCAACATTCATTCGTTTATAACCATATTTCTCTGTCAATAATTTCACCATCTCATTCGATCGACTAGCAGCAAGTTGTTCTAAAAATAATACAATAATTTCATTTAAAAAAAAAATATCAAATTATGTTTCAATTTTCAAACTAACCAATGATAAAATTATGAATTTGCCATCCTTTCGACAAACCCCAATCAATGTATAATATCGGAGCATCAGTTGATTTTAAGATTTCATCGTATCTCTGTAAATAAATGAAGCCTACAGTAAATAATTCAATACACTTTCAAATCATTATATACCTGAATTAAATCTGATGTTTCCAATGAAAACAATAATCTAGTCAAGGTTGATGCAGGTAAAAAATCAATTCCAGCCCAAAATGATGATGACATACAAATAGCAATACCAAAAGTAGTCGGATGTGATAGAGCCATATGAAATGCTGCTAATCCTCCGTGACTCGAACCTTAAAAAAAAAATTCTATAAATACTAAAGAAAATTGAAATTTAAAATCAAATACCAGCTATAACTGTATGCTTTGCAGTAGATAATGTTCGATAATTTTTATCGATCCACGGTTTCACATAATTGACAATATAAGCATTGTATTCGTCTACTTCGCCATATGTTTGTGTCCTATATTGAACTAAGAAAATCAGTATTCTTATAAGAATAAAAGCTAAGTGGATGACAATGAAAGCGATAGATATTCGAGAAATTCTCTAGCTGATACTAAGAGAATCATAGGATCCAATTTCTAGTTTTAAAACAGTAAGATATATCATACAGAAATATAATATTCGCGCTTAACAATGTTGAAATGATTGCGAGTTTGGAACGTGCAAATGTCCGCAGTACCTGTCAAACATGAGGATTCGTCAGAAACGAAGATATTGGATGTACACCATAGCGAATTTCGCTATCTCATGTGAAGTCTTCAAAGAGGGTGTGGGTGTGGGTGTGTGGGTGTGGGGTGTGGGTGTGGGGTGTGGGTGTGGGTGTGGGTGTGGGTG